TGATTCTGGAGGCTGGAAGTCTGAAATCAAGGTAGTGGTAGAGCCATGCTCCCTCCAAATGCTCTAGTGCCTTTGTCTTAGCTTCTGTGTTGTTGGCAATTCTTAGTGTTCCTGTGTTTGCCTCTATCATCACAAGAAGTTTTCTTTGTGTGTCTCTTCACATCACCTTTCCTCTGTGCATGTATTTTCTCTTCTTGCAGGACACCAGTCATATTGGATTAAGGGCCCAGTCTACTCCATCATGACCTCATCTTAACTTACATCTTAATTACATCTGCAAAGACCGGATTTTTAAATAAGGTCTCATTCACAGGCACCGGGGTTTAGGACTTCAACATATGTTTTTAGAGAACACAATTCAAACTGCAAGGGAGATAATTTATATTTACCTTTTTGATGCTTGTTGACAGCCACTTTTATAAGATAGAGGCAGTGATTTCCCTCTTAGAGCTCACTGAATGAATAAAATGTACTTTTAAACAAGTTTAGCTCAAAGTCTTAATAAATAAACCAAATTCCTTTTTCTCCACACTTATTTGACTTTTGAAAAATATCAAACTTTTTTATTTCTTAAAATGTTTGTGGAACATTAAGCAACTCAAGCCAGGTTTGAGTCAAAATGATTTTCTGGCTCATTTTCCCTACTGGCATATGCTTACACCTTTGTGCTAGCCCATTTCTCTTCCAACTACCTACAGGAAGGGGCTGACTCGGGGCCTGACTCATTCAATCACACCTTTGTTTAAGGAGCACCTGCAATATTCCCAGCACACTGTTGGGTGAACAGGCTGCACAGACACAATTAAGATACAGGTTTGGCTTTAAAAGAGATCTGAGTTCATGGATGAGAGGAAAATAAATAATTTTTAAAGTGTGGAATTATGTAAGTGTGGAATATAGACACGTCTACTAAACGATTTGGTTAAGCATGAGGAAGAGAGCTCAGCTGCATGAATGGGTGGTCTGTCCAGGGATCAGGAAAAACCTGCTTTCTTCTTATTACCATTGCTCAGAAGATGAACTACCCATAACACAAATCTAAACTATTCTCTTGCTTAAAATCTTTCAATGACTTCTATCAACAAATGAAAAATATTGTTTTGGTTTTTCACTATCTTGTAATTTTATTTTTGCTCACATTTTTTGTCTCTACTTATACATTGTTTTATTCTTTTAATTTATCCTACTATATGAGGGTTGTCGGGAAAGTATCCAGCCATTGTTAATACAATTTTTCACATTACATGGCTGAAAACTTTCCGGACAGCCCTCGAGTATGTCCATGAAGTTAATCTTTAATTTTAACTTTGTAGTTCAGTCCAAATTCAGAAATTAAGTCAGAATTAGAATTCACTTCATGTGAATTGAATAAATGCAAATAAAATGAGTCTGAATAAAGAAGATTCAATATTGTAAAAAATTGACATTCATGATGATTATAAATTCATTCTTAATGCAATTCCAAACAATACCCAATATCATTATCATTATGGGTATAATTAACTTGATAAAAGCTTTCAATTTTTACCTGGAATAAATAATGAATGAGCTCAGTAGGACAAAGAAAAAGTGAAAATGAAGAAATGAGATCAACCCTAGCAGTTACTAAAACACTTTATTAAGCCACGGTAATTCAAAGATTTTAATACTTGTGAAAGAATAGACCAGCTACTCAATAGATAGTACAGACCATTCAGAAACAAGCCTTAGTATAGATGACAATTTAATATGTGATAAGGGAGGCACATTTTGTTAGCAAAGAAAGATTGACTTGGACAATCAATGATAATAGGACTATTGGAAAGCTACGTGAGAAAAAAGTCAATTTATGTACACACCTACTCACCACCCAATACACCCAATAATACACAGAAAAATAATTTGAGACAGAATTAAATGTAAAAATTTGAATGAGGACTTTTGCTTCCACACATGTAGGATTTTGTCACCACAAAGATTTCTCTAGTGCTACCCATTTATAGTCACGCCCATCCCCCTCCCCTATCATCTGTAATCCCTGGAAACCATTGTTTTTTACCTCTATAATTTTGCCATTTAAAGAATGTTGTATAAAAAGAATTATACAATATATGACCTTTTGCTATTGGCCTTTTCCCCCCACTCAGAATGTTTTTGAGATCCACCCAAGTTGTTGTGCATATCAGTTGTTTTTCCCTTTTTATTGCCTGGTAGTATTCCATGGTATGAATATACCAGTTTGTTAAACTATTTACCTACTGATGGACATTTTGGTTGTTTGCAATGTTTGGAAACATCATTTTCTTTTTCCATCTTTTTGTGGGTTAACTGAATACTTTTTTGAATGTCACTTTTATCCATCCACTGTGTTTTTGAGTGTATCTCTTTGTACAGTTTTTTGGTGATTTAAAACATGCTATAGAGAATAAACACATATTCAGGAAAGGAAATATGATATTGATAAAGAATAAAAAAGTTGCAAATGTCAAAAATTTATTCAACATACAAATTTTATATATTTCCAATTCTCTTCTCTCCTTCTATCCTAAGTCTTTGTTCTTCATCTTTAGAGAAGTTCATCTGATGAGGTCCATAGTTTCTGTTTTCAAGCATTTCTTTGTTCAGATTCTAAACAGTGGAAGAAAAGGTAGAAATATTAGAGAAATTCTGTGACCTACTAAAAAAAGTTTTTTTATATTTCAATTATAAATATTTGGACTTAGTAGCTTTTAATTATGTTTAATCATAGGGCTGCTCTCAGTTTTTTCATATTTTAAAGTGGAGAGCCAAAAGTCTCCCAGCAAATGCTATAAAAAATGAATCCTGTCAACTAACATAAAAGGCAGGTCTTATAGATGACACCCCTCAGGCTGTGCTAGATGGATAATTACAGGGAAGATTTTCCTGGCCTTAACTAGTATATGATTAGAAATATCCTAGAAGGATCGTGGGTGATAAATATAAGATAGCACCACTGGGTATAGAAAGTAAAATAAATATTAGATAATTTAGTTTTGATATGTGGCAAATTCTTGGATTCATCTTCAACTAAGCCACTTTATATACCAGTAATTACATTTTATTTGCATGTTTTCTATTGAGAAATTTTATAATACATTTGATATAGTTCAATTAATAAAAGATACAACAGGATTTTTTATAATATGGAAAAACACACATCTTAAGCAGCAGCCTTATGCAGAGAACTGAGATGCTTACTTATTTTGTTTAAGTTGGCATTAGATTTTATTGTTTATACTTTACCAGCACTACAAGGGGCACTGTATTCTTCAATGCTGAATTCATCTGAAACAAAACCAATGACTGGAAATATAGAGTGAAGACATTCAGTCATAGACAGCTGAGATGGTAACTGTAAATAAACTATGTAAACTGAGAAAGAAAGTATAAAGCACAGCAATAGAGCCAGTAAAATGACTGACTTCTATACTAAGCTGTTGAGATTGGGGAAAGGGAACTTTCCCCAGAAAATTGGGCTTGGGTACAAAACTGAGGGGTGGGTTACACAGGTGGTGTGTCTGTGTATAAATATGGGGCTCAGCATCATCCCTTTCACAGTTGTGTTTTTTCCACTGGAGTTGTAGCTTCTTTTCTGAACCTTACTTAACCTAACGAGATAAATTTTAACACTACCAGCATGCTATTATGTTGGTAAATTTCTAATTCAAAGTCATGAACAAATGGAAGAATTT